TCCAGTAGAATAGACGTTGTCAGCTATATCATTCTGAAACATAGGTTAGGAAGCATGTTCACAGATCCCGTACCTCTAAGTAGATAGCCAGTCCGAGGTTCATGAAAAAAAAGGCTCTTCCAAAGTATCGAAGTTCGTTCATGAAATGTTTAACAGTTAACAGTTGACTGTCAGATAAAATAACTGAGATGGGAGTTATTGTGCTGTGAGGACTGAAAGAGAAGGAGGGCCATGATTAATTATGCTAATTAGCAGGAGGGAAACAGCATTATAGCTCTTGACAAACGCATGCGAGACTCCATAAAGGTCTGGGGCTACAGTGAAAACCGTACTCATTTTTTCCCCAAACTTGATGCGTGCAGAGACGGTTTGCGAACAAAGTTCATCAATCACCCTGAACCCCCGCCCCACCGACCCTGACAACGACAGCACCACATCTTTACACTAATCAGTATAGTTCATTTATTTCATTATCGTATAAATGTACAGGCTTGAGGATAATTTTTCGAAAGCAAACCTATGCTCGCCAATTTACCTTTTGCTATTCACAAGGAAATTTTCGCAAATTTAAAACTTTCCCTTTGCCCAAGTCGCCAAAACGTATACCTCTTCGTTTTCTTTTGTTGGGAGCACGCGAATGGTGTCGTACCTCTCCTGATGCCGATTCTCAATGTTGAGGAACGCGAACTCGTAAGCATCAGCCTTCGTCTCCTCTACAACCTCACTTTTCACAATGATATACGAACATCTATGTTATCCAGTGGTTTAATTCCGGTTATCACGTCCCTCGTAGGTTCGTTTGATTTCCCTATATCTTGTTTTTGGCCAGTACTTCGATTGACTCTTACGGTTTTTTCACCGATTCCGCATTTTAATTTGGTACGGAGCAAAATATGCGCTTTAAAATTTTCGGGTGAGCTACGAAATGAATCCAGATAAGCGGTGACAGCAAATACCCTATTGCTTGCAAAGGGATTTTTAAGTGGACTTCTGTCGTCCGCAGCCACGCATGAACTAGACCAATGACTGTCCCAGGATGAGGATTCAGTCAGTCAGTATATTTGGAGTAAATGAGAGAATCCCTTAAAGACTCCATTGAAACCGTACAGAAATGCAGAAAATGTAGTGAATTTGTAAAAATTGTTACAGGTCACTTTTGTATGCAAGGATCCATAAAAATATCTGTATGCTTAATAAAAGTCATGACTGTCTCTGTGTGCATCTCCGTTATCATTGGTCGAAGAGGCCAAATTGAAACGCCTTCTCCCCCTTCGACGCGCGTGTGTGTTAGTACCACGCTCACTTTGTAAGCGCGCGTGCGCGCGCCA